GCATAATTAGTAAATTACTACACACTACATACGTGTACATACATATATGTATGTGAGTATTTTATATAAAAAATTTAACTAGCATATATTGTAGATTGGATATTGATAGCAGAGTACATACATACATACATACATACATACATACATGACATGAGAGTATTTACATACATTTAAATGCATTAAAAGGTATACAGATGTGCATTTGCGACAAAGGCAATAAAGTTAATTGTAAAACCGCAACTAATTAATTCAATTAAATTAAATTGTGAATTAAATGGAACTCGCTGGCTGTGCTGGCATATAAAATAAAACCGAAAAATGTGAGATTCGAAGCGCATATAAAACGTTATCTCTCACTGCGTGTTAGTGTATGTGTGTATGTGTGTGTGTGCATAAAAATGTGTAGAAAAAGAGAGTTTTGTGCACAAATTGGTAAAAATGTTGTGCATTGAGTGGCAACAAATAGATTATATATAAAATTGTACGGTCAGGGAAAGCATGCAAGACACACATGCTGTTATAGATTACCCTTTGGGTGAGAAAATTAAGAGATTTCACGTGTTTGTAGAAATTTATAAAAAACAATATATAATAAATAGTATTTTTTCGTAATTTTTTTAGATGGAAAAATAAATTTATTTTAAATTTATCATTATTCACACAGTCACTCAATTAATCAGCAATTAAAATGTTAATTGACAGAAAATTCGTTTGTAAAAACTCAAGCAAATAGATTGACTAGATAATTTAGTAGCATATGCTTTTAACTGGTAATAATTTAAATTCTAAGATTTTCCACTGTTTGGTGGCTCAGTCCAATATAATTATTATATAGGGTTTTCCAATAAGAGTTGTTATGCAAATATTCAAAGAAACTTTGCTTTTAAAAGATCTAAGGTTTCGTTGCTTGTGTGATAAGTAGCGCCGTCTCGTTGAATGCAAACATTGTCCAAATCAATACCATCCCATTCCTGCCGTAAAAAATCATTAATCATCTGTCGATAGCGCAACTCATTAATTTTCCTAAAAGTACGGTCTAATGATCCCACCAGACCATAAAACGAAGCTTTTTAACAATAAATCGATGGGTTTCCCGTTCAGGTTTGCTTTTTAATGTTGCTGGCCATTGTGGGGGAAGCGGGCCTCATCAGTCAAGATGATTTTCGGATGAAATTTTTATAGTGAATTTTAATAATTTCAATACGTTATTGCAGCGTTTATCGCTCCATTTTTATTATTGGTGTAGTTTTAACTTGTCAAATGTCAAAAAATGACAGCTTCAAAAGCGACATCTACCGGAATAGCAGGCTATTATTATTTTTAATGCTCATTGGAAAACCCCTTCATATATTTCAAAAACAAAACTGCAATCAAACATTGATTTAGAGTAAATTATTGAAAAAACCTTAAAATTTCGCATTAAGTAAAAATTGTAGAAAAACAAAAACAACTGTACTATGTTCTCGTATTGTGATATGCAGCCTTTTGTGATATCCACTAAGCGAAAATAAGTGGAACTCTCTTTGAATCGACAACTTGTACCGAACCTAACTTACCCTATATGAGTGAGAAAGAGTTTATTGATTACTGTATTAAAAATTTGTGCTTAGTCATAAGAAAATTATTATAAATTTCTATGTACATATATATAAAAGAAAGATTTTTTAACATTTAAAGTGGGGAAAGAAAAACAAATTCGTTATCAGTGAAATTAAATTAATTAAATCATTAACTATAAAAGTGTTCAACTTTCAAGAAATAAGTAAAAATGTATAAAGTTACCCTGTACTAAACTGGGAATAAGTGAATGTGTGAAAGAAACTAATTAAAAAGCTTTGCTGCTCTTATTAATTTCCCTTATTATTTTTTAATGACAAAACTGCAATTAAAGCTCTAAAAAATTTTAACTCCACTATGTTGAATAAAAAAATTATAACAAAATATTAAGCATAATTTAGTGGGTGTGACCACCAAACTAAGTTGAAAATTAATTGTCTCGGCCTGTTTGAACATATAAACACTAACGACGATTAGCTCAATTTCGTTATCTTGTTAATCTAGTAGTGAAATATCGTTTAGGGCATTCTAGAAACCAAGAGTTTCAAAAACCTGCGTTGTAAGAAAAATATTTATCCATTAAAGGTTAATTCAAAATTTTAAATTCTTTTAATTTCATTAAGTAAACTACGAGGCCTGGTTGTTTGTATGAATTGAATATTTGTTATACAAAAATGAAAAATGGTAGAAGTGACAGATGTTTCGGAGATCACCACATCGCCTCATCAGACTTCTTATGGCGGGGATTGAACCAACGTATCCTGACTTAACAGGCGAGTGTTCAGCCATATAATCTGTTGTTGTATTATTTATTTTTGTTAACACCTTTTGTCTGCTACATACGTACACGTATGTACATATACTGCACAATATATTCAAGCAGATCAGTTCCTAAATTTGTGTAACGAGTACTCGCACGCATGTTTGGTGCTCAGTATGAAAATTTTCGAGATTGTTGAGAACGTGCTTCCAACTTTTTCAGCTTTTCGAGTATTTCAAGAAAAATTTTAGATATTTTATTCATTCAAGTGATACGAATTTTTGGTAAAAGAATTTAAAATTTTATTCGGACGCTCGAATTTTAGGAAAGCTTTTAAGCAGTCGACCAATGGGCGTTGGAGTTCGACTTCTTTTGCGAAATTGAAGGGTTTCATGATATCTGATGTTGAGTTTTCTTGTAGTTCTTAAGAACTGGTAAGATACTAGATATCTCAGACGTGGTAGAGATTGGAGAGCAAAAACGGATGTAGTATTTCAAAATCTAATTCTTCTTTCCCTACATTTCTTGCTTGTAACACTAACAGTTGTCTGAAAAAGTGGATTTATGCTTGATATTTACGTCTCGTCATTCTATCTTGCCCTGTTCCGTTTTCCTGGTATCTCGTCACTTATGAATACCGTATAGAATTTTGCGTATCATGCTTATTTCCTATTTTACTGCAGCCGTCTGACAAATACATTTTTTTGATAATTTCATTAACTGTGTCTTTTCCGCAATGCCTTGGTGGTCTCAAACCATTTATTTTACAAACTCAGCGCTTCATTGCAAGACTGAAAATACTGGAAACTTCCCAGCTTGTACGGATATTATCTTACGTTCAATGAGGGACGTGAGATTTTTAATTCTTTCTTGTCATGATATAATATTTTGCTCAGCGGATTTCCTTTTCGTGAAGACTTCCGCCATGGACATTTTTAATTTTTAGACTATTTTAAGAGTTGAGCAGCGCTCAGCGCAATGGATTATGGCGTTCACTCTGTAAGTAATTTTTGATCCGACCGCGTGAATGTTGTAAGTTCTGTAGGCACATATCCCACCTACGTGTTTAGTCGGAAAATTGGGATTTAACGATTTATCGTTTCGGTGATATAACAGAGACAACAAATTTTTTTTCTATTAAAAACGAGTATTATTATACCTTAAAAAATGGGAGTATGGCTACTGAAGACGTAAATAATGAGATATAGGCAAGTATTTGAAATTTATTTGTATCAAAGCTGCATCGGAACGGCACATTTCACGTTAACCGTTAAATATTTGGAAGTCATAAAAATACATTTTATATCGTTTTTCTCCGGAAAGAAAAGCTGTCGTTAATGTTCAATCGTTAATGGATAATGTTAGACGTTAAGATTTGAGTCTGTTGTTGAATCCTATCAAGCAGCCAATTTTATATTAAGTAGCACACCTAGTGTGAAAACTAAAAATTTCAAATCGATATCTCAAATAGTTTTTGAGTTAAATCAATTTAAAGTGCTCTCAGCAGCTAGAGAGTCTCATTAGCTACGAGTGGAAACGATCATTTTATCTTTAAACGCGTTTTATTCGAAACAGCATTTTCCGAATTTGCTGCAGTGAATACTCAAAAACAAATGATCCGATTACTATCGAATTTTTTTACATGTTCTTTATATAGTTCTCCGTACAACGATCTATCGATTTTTGATCTGATCAAAAACTCGAATTTTAGCAGGCCAAAAACGACCAAAATTTTGGGTAAAATTCGAGAATTTTTTTTTTTAAATGTCGCCATATTGTTAATTTTTGAGTTTTTTTTATGGTAGGTCATTGTACATACAATATTATCAAGTAGAGATTTTTTTCTTTTAGATTTCATCCACGGAGAAGGCCGTAATCACTGCAGCCGTGAAAGACTTTTTTTCGCGCCTTTGGAGATCGACTATAACTTAAAAAATATTTAATTGTTTGCTTCAAAAATATCACTGTATATTCTTGAAACATGTGAAAAAATAGTCTTAAAATTTTGAAATAATTAATAAAATATTTTTTGTAATAAAAAATCCCAAAAATCACCTTTTTTTAGACAATTACACTAGGTGTTCCCCTTAAAGTTAACGATGAGATTATAATGTGTTAACACTAAAAGTTTCATTTCGTTTCGTTAACATGGCGCCGAAACGAAGCAAAATAAATTCGTTAAGTTCATTTTTCAAATTAACAAAACCAATTGGCATCGTTTCGTTAGTTGAGCATCTCTGATTTGAATCACTCTTACATCGTTCTTCAAAAACAATTAAGTTCTTTTAGTTTTTATTAGCAAAGTGTTAAGTGAAATTGCAAAAATTACCAGTAAAAATCTTTAGTGTTTTCGATATTATTAATCTTTCATTGAAAACTACATAATTATGATTTTCTCTAATATATTCTTATACGACTGAATGGAAAATATTTCCGCAAGCATTTGAGTAACTAATAACCTCTCGCTCCACGCATAGGGGTTTTAGCAGTAAATAAAAAGTAATTTATAAAAAAAAAGAAACCACTTTAAAGTCAACTAAGCAAACAACATGCATAATAAAGTGCAAAAAGGGTGATATGCAAATATATTAGTGGAGTGAACATTTTTTTTTTTACACAACCCAACCATCACCACTCACTCACTCACTCACTCACCCCCTCACACACTCGCACACTCAATTACCTGTCTGCGGTTGCAATTCGATCAAATGACTCCAGATGCTGCGCGTCGCCTGTGTATAATAACCAATTTCCGCATTTGGATGCAAACCGAACACATCCGGCTTGTTGACGAGCGGCAACTTATCAATATGAGCTGCATGAGTAGGCGATGAGTAACGAAAATAAAGAAGGAAATGTAAAAAATGAATGAATATGTGTGTATGTGTGGCAAAGTGATTGCTATCTTCTATCTGCTCTTATCTCGCTTTCTTACACCTCACACACATCCCATCACATCATCTCGAGTACGCTCACTCACCTATGAAATCCTCCTTCAGCACCACATCCTCCTCGGGTATGTAGTAGTCGACATTCTCATCATGATAGAAATGGAATGGATTGAATGTGTCAAAGAGGAAATCACCCATATATTCATCCATATAAATGCGTGTAATGCGGCGATCAAAATCATCGATGACACGACCACCATACATGACCTAAATAAAGGGAAGAAGAAGAAAAAATTGCGAGCAAAAAATGTAATACTTAAAGGGATTTATGATGAGAAATATTGGTTTTTTTGGGGTTTTTCTTTTAATAGAAGAAAATTCTGCTGCCACTTTCACTTACTTCACCAATGAGATACTTCAAGCTATTCCACGGCACCTTACCGGTTGCCTCATTTACTTTATTCAAATATGTGGTTAATATTTCCAAGCAGACATCGAAATCGGACTCATTAAAGTCATAGCAAATATTCCAGCCTAATTTGTCGTATTTGCGGCGCTCCTGTAAATTGAATGAGTAATTAGAAATCATAAACCGTTATACCATATATTTAAGAGAATTCCAATTTTGATTTCATCTCAAGACCAACCTGGACAACAGCATGGAAAAAGGCCAATACATAAACCAGTGGACGGAAGGCGGAATGTGAGCAGGCCTCCAGACGTTCCTGCCGCACTTTGAAGAATGTGGAGCGTAAATTCAGTTTCAAACCGTTAGGTGGCTCGGTAACAACTGTAATTTCGAAAAAATATCTCAATTAAATTTTTTTTTCCGAAATTTAAACTATTGCCTGCTGAGCCTGCTGCTGTAAATACCTTTTAATGCCTTTTGTAGAATACCAATCGGAAAGGCTGGTGTCGGATCTGTTGTTATCCATAGGCGAAAATCAGGATGTGGTGCTTCAATTTTTTCAAGATATTTCTCTAAAGAGCGCACAAAACTGATGAGTAAATGCCCGTTTTGTAACATCAGCCAATAGCCTTGTCGTATAGATTTATCAAGTAAGTTCATGGCGTTCTGAATTGAGCAGTTATGTAGAGAATTAAATGAAAATAATTCGAAGGAAATGAGAGAATTTATTTTAAGAAATTACATAAATTATTATGAGAGAGAGTTGAGTAAAAAGTATCAAAAAAAAAAAAAAATGTTCTGGAAACTATTATTGGTGTGCTGCAATAGACAGTCATGTGACATATCCTGAGATTGAGACGATCTTGCAAGAACATTTCGCTGCAAGGGAAATTTTTTCACATTGGATTCCACACAATTTTTCTGTCGCTCGATCGAATGGGCCGAGAGAAATATTAAAAGCTACAGCGTAGCTTTGAAACACATCTATGCCATCGCTTTAGGTGATGTATCGTGGATTTACGCGTATGACTCTAAGAGTAATCCACAGTCGGTTGTATGTATGTTTAAAACTAAGCCGAGTCCAACAGAAGTTGTTGGCACACAAAGCAATTCCAAGCACATTGGTGACTGGTTCTTTTTTGGAAAAACGTCACACATCGCAACCGTACCACTGGTACACAACCATTTGGTTTGCCGGTTCCCTTTCATGAAATCAGTAAACCCACCGCCGAGGATGGATCACTCTAAACCACGACAAATCGAGTACTCACATATCGATTGACACAACTGCATTTGAGAGCACTCAAAACAACCAACATATTGTCTAGACTTGACACTGAATCACTTCTTTTTATTCCCGTTTGTAAAAATCCCACACACGATGAGGCGGGTGACTCATTCAGAATGAATGTTTTGAAAAATGTCTAGACAATTATAAAAGTGAAACCCTCGTACTTTCCCCTTCTTCAATATAACTACAATTAGCTTGTTTAAAATCAGATACGAGTATATGCTAAAGTTTTATGCGAAAATTCACTCCTTCTTCACTAATAATCTGGCATGGCCCGGCTTGTGTTAAAGGTAGTTGCAGGACTATTCAAATTTAGAGTAAAGCGTCGATCATTACAGATATATTGGCTCCGTCATTAAGTTTAACGTTTATCTTAAAGTCGAGGAATATATATATACAATAATAAATTTCTCCATATTAAACAGATTAATAAATTACATTTGCCAGTTGATAAAGTAAAAAGAAAAATATTCACATCGAAATGGAAGACGGTACACAAAAAAAATAAAAAGTTTTAGTAATTTGTTTATTAAATCATAAATATTTGAACCTAATTATGGAAAATATGCCTGGATAACAAAAAAAGTTGAATGAAAACGTTATCTTACAAATTAAAGAGCTATTTTTTAGTCTCGNAATAAATAAATAAATAAATAAATAAATAAATAAATAAATAAATAAATAATAAATTTTTTTTAAATAAAATTTTTGTGAAATAAATCTTGCGGATTTTTTATTAAAAACGTTTAAATTATGAAACCAGTGGTATGTGTGCGCAAATAGAATAAATTGCATGCGTTTACGCTTTTAATATACACTCACGTCACTTAAGTATCAAATACTCGTCTTTCAACATTTGAAACGAATTTGTTTGAACATCTAAATGACAGCATTAAAGTAGTGTTTCGTTCATACAACGGCGACACATTTTAATTGAACACGTCTTTGGGCAAACTAAATGTTATATTGACCATATAAAAAAACAACAATAAAATGTGCTGATGGTTGGCATACGGTCAGTGGGCATCATGGCTGGTCAAATGAAAAAAAAAATAATAATAATACCTCTTATGTCTACTGAACTGCCAACTTAGCAACAATTTTATGGAATCTCAAGCCAAATTACATTTTCTATTTCTTTATTTCTCTGAATTTACGTGGCAAACTCTCACTTTTTATTCTCACTACACTATTTATTATCATTTCATTGCTTTTACAGAACGTGGATATTTATTTATAACGCTAAATAACCTATATTTCTTCTGTACATGTAGTTGCTTTAAGTCCGCACCTAAAGCTTCAACAATTTAGGTGACGACAACACGACAAGCGGCAAAATTGAAAAACATACGTTCTTATACTAGCGCTGCAGATATAGGACTTAGGTGTCCAACAAGTTAAACAAGATTTAATATAAAATACATAAATAAATATAATCAAATAAAGAAAGTTCAAATTAAGCAGGATATTAAAATAAACATATTTTAATAAAAAAAAATAAAACAAATAAAATATATAAAATAAAATTGAATAACTTAAAAACAAAACAATATAGGTATAACTTAAATAAAGTAAAATAAATTAAAATAAATAAAATAAAGTAATATAAATAAAATATACTTAAGAAGAAATAACAAAAAACTAAAATAATATAAAGTAAAAATAATATAAAAGAGAAAAGGAACTATAGTGAAATACAATAAATCAATTTGAAATTAAGCATAAAAAAATTAAAATATATTACAAAAAAAATAAATAAATTTAAAAGAAAACTAACCAAATAAAATAAAATTAAAATAAAAAAAATTAAAAAAAAAATTAAATAACAAAATTAAAATACAAAAAAGTAAAATATAATAAGAACGAGAAAAGAATTGAAAGTAAATTAAAATATAATGAAATATAATTAAATTAATAAACTAAAATAAAGGAATAAATAAAACAAAATATTAAATAAAGTAAATATGTCTGATTTTATTTTTTTTTAACCAAACAAAAAGTTATAATTAATGAAATAAAGTAAGATTAAATAAAAAATATAAATATCTATAATGAAACAAAATAAATATAAATAAAATGGAGCAAGCAAAAACACAATTAAGTTATATAAAATAAAATAAGATGAAATTAACTAAAATGAAATATAATAAAACAATAATAAAAAAAAAATATAAATGAAATAAAATAAAGTAAAATAAAATAAAAAGAAAAAAAAAATGAAAATAAAATAAGAGGAAATGAAATAAAATAAACAAAGTGAAATAATATTACAGTAAGATTGTCAAATATCTCCCTTCCGCTTTTTTGCTTTTCATTCNTTACGACTTCAATGTTATAACTAGCAACCGTAACGCGGTATGGAGGATGCGATAAAACCTCCCATCCGAGCTTCTGACGAGTCATCAACGAAACGTGTGTGGTCTGGCGTTGTCCTGGTGGAACACTACACCCTTCCTGTTGACCAATTCTGGACGCTTCAAAACCTTCCTGGCCTTCAATTCCGGCCTGGCCACTGTTTGGGACGATTTACCGGCTTTCGACCACGACCGGTTTCGCTTGATATTGTCATATGTGATCCATTTTTCGTCGCCAGTCACCATCCGCTTCAAGAATGGGTCGAGTTCGTTCCGTTTCAGCAGCATATCGCAGGCGTTGATTCGGTCTAGAAGGTTTTTTTGCGTCAAATTATGCGGCACCCAAACATCAAACTTTTTTCTGTACCATCCCCCAAAACACCATTAATCTCACGGAACGTTTCTCTAGCGGATTTGCCTTTAACGAAGGAAAACTTTAAAATAGCGCGAATTTCGGCGTTAGTGAACTCCATGTTTACACGTCTATAACTGTTGAACGCAATATCCAAACTAATCATGCATAGCGTTGTTTTGTAGGTTACGTCAAGACCTTTCAAATTATGTATAGTGTTGCCGAGCTCTGTAGCGCTTTGTACATAGCCGCGAAATTCAAAAGACAAAAAAGCGAAGATATTTGACAAACAAAAGGATATAAAAAATAAAATGAAAGAAAATAAAACTAAACAAAATGAACAAAATAAAATAAAGCGGAGAAAAAGTAGTAAGGCAAAATACAGTTAAGTCAATTAGAATAAAATAGAATGAGAGAAATTAAATAAATCAAAAGTAACAAATTTAAATCAAATTATTTATAAAATAAACTTTATTTTTGCGCTTTGCTTTTACAATTTTTCCGACAAGCAATCATCTTCTCCTTACTATAGTGTCGTGTCGCAACGAGAGTGTATTAGCCCTCAGAATTGGGGAGTGGAAAAAGCGTTGGAAGTAGTTGTAGTTAGAGTGAGTGCCATTGTTAAGCGCAACAATGGGCATTGGCATAAAAATATCGCCAAAGCGCAAGCAAGCTATTTCGTCACTGTCATTGTTTACTTCATTTATTGCACGGAGTTGTTCATAGCCAACTACAATAACATTGTTCGAAGAACACACATACACACACACGCAAATCTGCCTCGCGTTATATCACAACATCCTACTCACCTTCTCTTGTCCTTGTCCGAGGGATATGTGACAAAAATTGCCCATACCAACACCAACGAGGTCTGCCAATTTCATTAAATCATTCGTAGGATCCGAGCCAGCGCTGAGTATGAAGCAAACAGGCATATTACAGTTGGTCTGTTCGAAGATATTGGCAAAACTAATCACTGGCGGTGTGATGTAGAACTCATCCATGGTGTCCACGATGTATTCATTTATTGCACGGAAAATTCGATCGACACGGAAACAGCGCAGGAACATTAATTTCTATGCAGGTCAACAGGGAAACAGGCACAGCGAGACGGAGAAGCGCGGAGTGACATGAAAAGAGATGTTGTAAATTAGAAAAAAATGTTTGTATGTTTGCTTTTTCTTGGGCATAATAAAGTATGTATGCTTTGGTGTGCATATTTGGTTAGAGAATGAGTGGCAGCTGAATTGCAGCCACCAGCAACTGCTTGGAAGTGGTAACTTGGCTTTTATATATTGTACTTGACGAGTTCAAGGATAAGTGGTACCGTATATATACAAATGAATACGCACACATACGTGTATACATGGCTGCAAGTGTTTCTGAGTCGAATGCTTGTGAGTGCCTGATTTGTTTTATGGCTAACGGCAGCGGCAAAATTCTATGTATTATCATGTGGCAAAGGCTAATGGTTTGGAAAATTTATAAATTATGGTTAAACTCGATTAAAACTCCAAATGAATAATAAAGAATAATATGACTGAAAGTATTATAGAATTATTATTTTATTATAAATGTGCGCCGTGATCTTGTGCTATTGAAGTGTTTTGAATTATTAAGCGACTTAGATGGAAATTGTAAGAGTTGAGGCAGACAAATGAAAAAAAAAAAAAACAAATAGATTCCACCATGCGCATATGTAAATAGTATAACCCATGCTTTGAACAAGAGGATATATTTATCGATCGCTTCTGGAGGCTACACTCGTAAGAATGATTGCATAAACAAAAATGATTTTTTCTTTCAGAAAAGTACGGAAGTGAAGTGGAAGACTTCAAAAATATATGCTAATAGAGTTAAATAACAAAGATCAGAGCCGGAAGAGTCTTCTTCGTGCAAAAAACTATCGCCATTTCTGCGAGTCGTGGCTGGTCATCTATTTGCCAAGATTTTGTGCTGGAATATTATATTGTCTTGTTACATAATAGTCAGCTTATAATCCTGTTCCTGAGGCATTACATCTACAAGGTTCTACACATTCTTTAGAATTTGCTTTAAGCTTCGGGCGACATGGCCTAGCCAGCGTAGTCGCTGTCTCTTGATTCGTTGAACCATGTCAATATCACCGTGTATCTCGTACAGCTCATCGTTCCATCGTCTGTGGTGTTCGCCGTTTCCATCTCCTAGAGGACCAAAAATCTTACGAAAAACCTTTCCCTCGAAAACTCTTAACGTCGGCTTATCAGATTTGTTGTCGTCCATGCCTGTGCACCATATAGCAGGACGGAAATGGGGAGCGAGTTTGATTTTTGTTCGTCGATAGAGGACTTTACTTTTGGATTGCCTGCTCAGTCTAAAGTAGCGCCTGTTTGTAAGAGCGTTAATACTGGTTTCACGATAGACGAAATTATTTACGACTTCAATGTTATAACTAGCAACCGTAACATGGGAGCCAAGTGGAAAATGCAACTACTGGCAGAATATATTTCATTTTGTCCTCGTTCCCTACGAGACCCATATACTTCGCTCTATAAAAATGCCCAGCTCGCCCTAAAATCCATAGGCCCCCGTTGCTTTCTTGCTTTTCAAGAGGCGATTGCTGTTCAAAATTCTTCATAGGCGGAAATGAGATATCTATTTCATCGTCATCGATTGGGAAACTGGGATCAGTATAATCTCGGCATCAGCCATTAAATTACCTATTTGGATTCTACAAGAGTCTGCTCCGGTCATGAAGCTTTCTGTAAGTTGTCATATATTTTCATTATCCTTTTCAGATAGCTTCTTGAGCTCTTCATACACACGCATTTTGGGGTCATCTTACACAACAATAATAATTTGGTCCCAAATTTGACCTAATCTATATTTACAGCATATGTCAGTACAAAAAAACAATAATCTACTTAATTTAGTTCAGAGAGCTCTATAGATTCCAGCAGAGATGAAGTTGAAAGCTGCATACGAGTATAACAATAACCTCTGAAGTGGTGACCCGCTGTTTGTTCATAAACAGTAATAAAGTCGTAATCAATAGGTGCCGGCGAGTCAAGGTCTCAAACCCTAAAGGGAAAGAACTCAAGTGTTGTATATACAAAATTCAGACATTGTTGATGCTTGTTTAAGAAAAGTTGTGCTCGATGGCGCTTTAAGCATTTTAAAGACTCAGTAACCTTCTATAAACGAGCTTGCTTTTTTATTTTTCAACTTTTATGAATTGTAAATTTGAAACTACGCTGAAGTGACGGGCATTAAAACTTTCTTCTTTAAGTTTCCATTCGGTTGAATATAAACGTAGACTGAATTGGATTCCGTTAATTTGTTAGAAATTCTGGACTGAAATCGCACACATTCCCTGGGTAACAGGCGCAGACCCTATTGAAAATTTATGAAATCAGACCGAGTTTATGCCGAAATTTGAAAAGTATAAAAATCCAGAACGGACAGAATTCATAGAATTTAATTTTGTAATTTTCATGATCGGAACTAGCATTTTTTTGTGAATTTTGTACAAGACTGTTATATTTTTAACTACACATTCCTTTACTAAATATTTCAGACGCTAAAAATATCATTTGTTTGTGAGACTTTTCTCCCACATACACAAATACATGTGTAATTTTAATTCCACTGCGAACTTACCTGGAATGGATTACAATTCACGTTATACTCGCCCGGACATGGTACTTCTTCCGGATTCTCCAAATCGAACCACTGCACAAGCCATTTTGGTTGGTTGGTTGTCGGTTGTTCATATGAAGGTGTGTGTGTATCATTGCGGAATGGCATCCAATGCGAATGTGATAAGTGAAAAGGAAATTGGAGTAGAATAACGTAGACGAAAGTGATTTCCGGAAGGTGAATATTATGCATATGCATTACGAAGTTGGGATAGATAAGAAGAGAAAAACAAATTAATAAGAAGAAATCGTAAATGTTTACTGCTGAAAGAGACTTCGCATGAATTCAAGTATTAACATAAATGAAATGAGAAAATAAAATAAAAATAAAAAAACTGAATTGAAATAAAATAAACTTAACTAAAATAATTTTAAATTTAACAAATTTAAATAAAAAAAAAAATAAAAAATAAAATAAAATAAAATAAAATAAAATAAAATAAAATAAAATAAATAAAAAGTGAAGTAATGCAAATAAAATTGAACAAAATTTTATAAGATAAAATTATATAATTAAAAAATTTAGATAAAATAATATTAAATATTAAAAAAATTAAATAAAATAAAATTAAATAAAATCTAAATAAACCAATTTAAAACAAATCAAAATCAAAATCAGAATCTAAATCAGAGTAAAAAAAAAATAAAAAAAAAAAAACAAAATTAAATAAAAATTAAAAAAAATTAATTAAACAGAAGTAAGGCTGCACCTCCTTCCACTCCTGTTGCAGACGACCTAAGCTATCGGGCAATGTTCCGAACGGTTCCGGGAAATCATTCGCCAATTTGAGCAGATCCTCCCAACCCTTTTCCGTCAACCACTTCACCGGACAAGCGCGTTCACTCTTCGTCAACGTAATAGCACCTTTAATGAAGAAATCCAATTCCGCTTGCGTTAAGTTTCCGCCACTCTTAGCGAGTTTCGTCGCTATTTGGAAGGAGAAGAGTAATTTGTGTCGCTCAAAAAAACCCGTACAGCCATAGCAATAGACGTTCTCCGTTAGGGTTTTTATTATATTATTCAGACGTTTAGCGAGCACCGTATCCGGCACGGATTTACGCAGCGAATAGCCGAACACATCTAAATAAGCGGCCAATGCATATTGATACATACTATTCACGGACGACATGTCGGAGAGTGCAAAAAAGAGCACCGCGCCGCGTACAGCCACGGGGCGATAGCCATTACGCAACTTTTCAATATCCTTGCTCGTCTCTGCCGACAACAGCAACTGTTCAGAAACAGCAGCTGCCTTGGTTTTAGTATTCTCTAGTGTTTCAATTAATTCGACGTTGTCGAGCATATTGCCTGTCGAATTGGCCAGCTCACGCAGCAATGAGTCTTCCAACTGTTGAAGCAACTGTTTATTTTCGCTGGTTTGGGCTATGAGCGACTCGCGTTGCTGTTCTAAATCCGGTCTCTCAGAACGCACCACAACACTAAGCAGCTGATCCTCGAGTCCGATTTGTGTGACGGTGTAGTTGATGACCATGGCTTTGGCAAATACGGCTGGATCGAATTTGGGATTGGCGAACTTCGTTGTCAAATATAAACGGAAATTTGGATCAAAGTCAACCTCTTTGTCGCCCAGCACAATGAATTTGCGTCCACTGACTATCTGTACATCCTTACTAAGCACATTATCAATCACCGGATCGATATAGTCATCGACGTCTTCGAATAGCACCGGATAGCCATACATCAGTGCCATTTCGAGTTGTTTGAGAAAGTCAGAATCTGTGAAGGAGAGTGTTTTCAAATTTTGGCGCGCCTCGCGTTTTCGAATCCAGTGGAGAGCCTGCAGTTGAGGATCTATACACAGGGGAAACCGTGAAGCGCGCATAGTTAAAATGCCATTTTGTACGGAAAGCTCATCGGGAGGTAGACCCTCGGAATTCCAGGTAGATACTTCAACATCCGTGGTGAGACTTTCATCAATGCGGAACGGTGTGGGTACGGGTATTGAACGATCCTGCACATCCTTTAACCAGTCATCGAATATCATGGCGTTGCGGAAGTCCCATGAGAAAGCGCCTGTATAAGCCAAGAAGGACGCACACAACAGGCACTGACCAACCATATTGATTTTCTGTTGACGGAAATTCTCCATGTCCTCAGCCCAGCGATTACGTTCGGAGCTTAAGCCGCTAATTAGCTTATTGGAAGCGATCTGTAAATAATTAAACAATGCCTTACATTGTAATCACTAATCGTCTGACTATAATTTTTAACTAACCAAGCGGCGCTCAGCCTGGCGCATCATTTCCGTCAGCGCTTTCATCTGTTTCATAGACTCTGCATAACGGTGATTTAATTGATCGAGTTGCTCCTCAAGTTTGGCGATTTCCTGATTCAAATGATTCAATAACTTGATTTGTATTTCCTGTTCTTGCACCAAGAAGTCCACGCGATCTTTCTTTGGCTTCACCTCACGGTAAACTTCATAGAAAGCAATAACGGCACGCACAAACTTTAAAAGACCTGCGCCCGCAACGGAGATCTTTTCCATATCATCTAAATTGGAGTTTTTCATATGCGCACGACAGGTGTTTATCTGCTTAGCAGTCAATGCCTCACAGTCCATTTCCATCAGACTTTTTAAGAAGCTTACATCGGCCATCATACCTTTGGCCGATTTCCAATTAATCTCCTTCACACCCTTCAATATGGCGACGCATTCGCACACCACCTGCACCTGTGGTGGTGGCGTTGCGAACGAGCGGATTTCGGTGATTTGCGCCTTATCGAGATCAGCGAGTGCGCGACGCGCCTCCTCCAGTGCGGGCATAGCTTCGGCAAGTGCCTCTTCGGCATCTTCTTTCTCGATGGCGATTTGCTTACCTTTTATCTCAACTTCAATAGACTTCTCCGAGGCCTCTGCCTTCTTAACATTCGCCTTTTGTGTTGATTCTTCTATATCCACCAACATGGCTTCACACTCCTCAGATGCTTTGGCCACGTTTGCCTTCTGTTCGGTAACAATGAGTCGCAGCTCGTCAATTTGTTTTGCGGCATCATCGATCTTCTGTATTCCCTCTTTGAGGCGATTGCGTTGCATGCTAATGAAGTTATGGCGTTCATCTGTCACAGATAAGGGTTTAATTGAATACAATTGAGGTTATGTCAAAATTCTCACCCAAAAGCCGCAAGTAGGTATTGATGAAGTCCAGATAGTGTTTCGGTGTAACATAATTATTGCGTCGCAATTTGACCAAGTATTCACGGGAATACATTTGAATTGTGGTGTGCACGTGCACGACGTGATCGATGATTGCATCACGATGTTCCGCAGGTATCTGTGGTTAGGTTGTAATTTAATACAATGAAAAGGCAAGTCTCAGGTGTGGATAGTAAGAAGTTCCCTGGTAGTGTACGAGTTGATTCCCCTTCCCCGATCTGCACTAGGGTGCTAGGCAAGTTTGAGTTATAGGGTGAAAAGAATGGGTATACTTATCTACTAACAGATCGAGAGATGTTGGAAGAGTTGGTGACGAAATGAATATCATTTATGTCCCTTAGCTTTAGACTCATTCATATCGAGAGTATAAAATCACTGCAAATTCATTGCAGTATTTGCCTAGTAGACATGACTGTCTCAAGAAGAAAGTAGCTCATTTTCTTATTATTAAGCCAAATTTTGAAGGTGTGTCTGCTTAGCTACTCAAGAGCTGAAATTTCCAGCTATTTAGTAGTCGAAGCTGAATAGTTGGGAAACTTCTGGAGCTAAACAGAGAAGTCTCCTACTTTTCAAGAAGTGTTTTCTATAGAAATCATATTTGGGTCTACACGTGCTTGAGTTGCCGTTGTCTACTGTCTCTGCCGACGAAAAGCACGACCTCTTGGAATTACAGTGGAGACTTTAACGCTTACTCATTTGGATAGAAATATAGTCCACACTAATTATCCAAGCAAAGATTCTGGCTTAAATCTAACTGCCTACTTGAATTTTCTAAGTCATTCACCTGGCTGAAACCTGTTTTTGTAAACCCGTTATTTTTAAATTATCTTCACAACATTCTTTCAGGGAATTGGAAGCCAATTTGTGGTTTTCCTGCGACTTAAACCTCTTGCCCATAGGAAAATTTGATTTAAAGGTCAACATACCATTTTATGTTTTGAGAGGAAGAGAGTAGCCACCGCCGATAAAGCCTGTTGCGGCCAAGGGAAAACCCAATCGATGTACGTACTACCTATGAGACCAGGGAAACTGCGGCATCTGTTGCGCAAGGCATCGCCTGATGGAGACATACATAATGAGACGTGTAGATTCTCAGCCGAGGTGCGTAGAAAATAAGCCCAAACCGAATCTCTAGAAAGTTAAAAAGACCACTTCCAGTTAGAAGATAAACGGGTATATTAAACAAAAAAGAAAACGGAATTCCTCACTTTGAAGCTGAGTAGCCCGCTTCCTCCGCTGCAGCACGACATGAAGACACAATACCATCTTTTTCGTCGTCCGCAAAGAGTGCTGGCACCTGACCCACAGTCAGCATGTTATTGATCAGTTCCAGAAAGCCTTCCTCGACAATCTGACAAGAACGAAGAATTAAAAAAGTTAACTAAAGTCCAATACTCAGACAACAAAGCAAACAAACCAACCTGTGCAGCGGTAAACAGAAAGACGGTCTTTTTCTTCTCAGCACCCACCATGGTGTATAGACGTTTTAGATCATCACGAAAAGATGTTTCATTATAACCACGTGCAACGGTGATTTCGAAAACTTCACATTCTTAGGGGAAAAATGCGTAGTAATATAATTTATATGTGTTATTAAGAAACCCAAAACACTTACCCGCAGCGAATGCCGAGAGCCGTGTTGTACTCTTCTTGCCACTGCCACCGACACCGATTATCATGACATGACCACGATGCATGCGGAAAGTGCGTTGGATACGAGTAAGGTGCTCCAAACAATCTTCGAAAAGTACTAAACTCATTTTGCCTCTACGTTCTTGATATTCTTCAAGTATCTGCAGAGCATGAGAAAATGGAAAGTTTTCGTAAAATACCCAAAAATTTAGAGATGACGTGCCCTTATTCGTGTCCATATTGAATTTCAATATTCTGGCCTCCCTTACCTCTTCGAAAAGCGCATGTACAGCCATGTAGTCTACTAAATCTTCATAAAACCGCGGCTCTGATTCGTTCATTGCATTACGAAAATCTCCATACAGTAAAGGGTCGCGAAAAACATAGTCGTGAAAGGTTACAATCACGGGTTCCTCGTCTGGATTCATTGCGAGTAGATCCTGTTGTTCTGGAAACAAAAATTTTTTATGATAAGTGTGACTAAACCTGGCTTTATTCTCCAGGCGCCACGAGTTTTTACTTAAGTCTTCCAAAATCGTATTTCACTTAACTTGAGTCAAAAAAGAAAAACTCACATTCCCATTAAGAGAGCGAAACTTAGCTTCCGCTGGAAGCCTTGGACTGTGAAAAAAGGTAACCGTTTTGTTTTCTACCCTGGCGATGAAGAGCATATCATAAAATTTTTTTTGCAAGGAACTAACTTACTTTGAAGATATCTAAATCTTTAAGGGAATTAAAGTAGGAGAAAATTAACTCAATTATAAACGTCAAGATGTCGTCTTAATGGGAATACTACAGCTCCGCCGTAGAATGTGATAATTAGAATAAAGCTAATGAAGCTATGAACCTCCCTCTTCATGTTGTGAAACTTGCAAGAAAGGCTTGAAAAATCGATGATGAGCTATATGAGATATACGATGAAACTGTCTCAGTATTAAGAAGCAGCGGCTATGAAAGCATTTGATGGATGGAGGCACTTAAGTTTTGAAAGTTTTCGATAAATACCTGGAAAAGTTAACATGGAAAGTATGAAAGCTTTTAATAACCGACCTACTAGTCTTATTTCGATTCCTGTGTCAGTAATTGGGGTATTTTGCCGAGAAATGAAATGCTTACGTCACAAAGGTGAAACAGAAAATCAAAATTGTTACTTTTCCCCACACTAGAAAACTCAAAATCTCATTCTTACCTTGAGCGACAGCTTCTGGGTCTATGAAACCATGCTCCTCCTCGAATCCCGACGGAAATGTTTCATCAACTTCACGTTCAATGTGGTTTTTCATCAACATGATATCCTACATGTAACGGAAAATGAAATTGGCATTAATTTACATACATACATACATACATATTTACAACGTAGACACGGCAAGCATCGACAAAGTGCCGAATGGTGTTAACATGACTAGAAAGTATGTGTAAATTTCCATTCACAATAAAAACCCAAATGCAACTCTGAGTGTTAAAATGAGTGTGTACTGTGGGTGCGGTTGTGTGTGTGCGCGCGCAAGTGTACTTGTAATTGATTGCGTAGGTGCGTTGCCGCGAATGTCGACTAACGGTACACGTCCCAATTCAACACTTAGCGTTAAATATTTTTTTATTTCATTTGCTTTGCTATCCGCACCCCACCGTCCCGTCCCTGCAGCGGCGCGAGCAACAAAGACAACTGATGCCAATCAATCTTCGTTGTCGTTCAAGCGCACAAAATCACTCCTCTGTGCTGCTTCGCCTTCAACCTGGAACCTTTGTCAGTAGACATTCGTCGTTGTAGCTGTGTGTATTTGCTTTAATCTTGGCTCCCGTCTATGTATTTGTAATTTGTCCTTACATATTGATTTGAGTACATTTATAGGTTTCTGATTTTGGATAAGCAAGGGAATTGATGGGTGGACGACAGCAAGACGCTGTATGTGTGTGTGTGTGTGTGCTAAATATAAAGCTACTAACGGGTATGAATGATGTCGGTTTGTATGCTTTTATTAGTGTCTTTATTTGTTTAGCGTTCGTATTCAAATCGAATTCAAATTTTTAAATTGCAGTCAATTTAGCAGCAACGACACATCAATCAAACGTAAGCTGCTAGAGCTTCAATAATGTTTTCAACCCCCGAGTATATCTAGGAGTTTGCTGAAGTTGCTGACACGTGCTGATACAGTGGTGGCTAAAAGTAATAGGAATCTATATTTTTTGCATTAGATGACTTTAGTGACCTGTACCTGGCGTTCCACAAGTGGGATTGGATTGCTTCAAAGAGATGATATTTTGTGCTAACAAAGATACAACAGAAGTGTTGCTTACTTATCTTAGTAGTGTTTGGTATTTTTGATGTAGAATACGCTCCATGGTGTGGAAGGCCGAGTGTCGAAAATGTCGATAGAATAATAAATATCGCTGAGTCTGATTGTCAAGTGGGCTCTTTTTCGATTGCACAAATGCCAAAAATTACACAAAATTCAGTTTGGAACCATTTATAAAGGCAGGATACACAAAGAAGATACCAAATGAGTTAGGTAGAAAAAACCCATGGACTTAATTTCCTTCTTCGAATCGTTGTTGAACTACAACCAACCCGGCCCATCTCTGAAGCGGATGGTGACTGGATATGAAAAGTGAATCACCTACAGCAATGTCAAATGAAAACGGGCATGGTCAAAGGGCAGTGAGCCGGAACAAACGGTTTCCAAGCCGAGATAGACTTTGATTCTGTGTTTGGTGGGATGTGTTTTCGTCGATTTCTTTAATTTGATGTAATAGAAGTTTTACGGTGCGAGCCCGCGCAGCGCTGCTGAATCGTAATAAAATCGACTCATTTCTGAAGCGGATGACTACTGGTGTTGAAAAGTGGATCTCTTACAACAATGTCAAAGCTGTATTTATTATTTCACTTTAATTTATTTTATTTAATTTAATGTAATTATATTTAATTTAATATAATGTAATTCAATTTTAATTATTTTATTTTAATGTAATATAATTTTATTTTACTTTGTTTTATTTTATTTGATTTTATTTTATTTTATTTTATTTTATTTTATTTTATTTTATTTTATTTTATTTTATTTTATTTTATTTTATTTTATTTTATTCTATTTTAATTTATATCATTTTTTTAGTTTTCTTTTATTACATTATTATTTTTTGATTTGTGTTATTTTATATTACGGTACTTCTTTATAAACTTTTTCTGTTTTCATACGAGCAAAAGCTGCACACACTGTAACTGCCGCCACGCACAGCGTTTTATAATTGAGAGTTTGCCTTTAAAGGTGTATGTAGATTTTGAGGTGCTTTGTATTTGTATGTGAATGTAAACTTTGTGTGTATATGTACAGGAGAAATTCAAAGGACTTACATTATCCGAAATTAATCGATCGCAAATAATTCTCGTAAATTCATTACGCCAGACGCGTATCAAGTCTCGCAGGTCGTGAAAGTAGTTCGAATGGATCAACAGCATTCCGGCAAAGATGCGCGACAGATCCTTCAAATTAAAGATGTAATGAAATTTCGATGGTGTTGGCGGCAGGTCGACAATGACAACCTGTAAATAAAATGAGAGAATTGGAAAAAATTCAATTATCGTTATTTACAAGAAAGACCAAAGAATTGGAAAATGCAAACGGTTAGCGTAAGAAAATATGTATGTATGTAAATAGACGTAAAAACTCGCAACCAAATTTTAGAGCCCAGAAAATACCAACACTTAAACCAGCGCAAAGCACATACAATGAAAATGAAAAAACCAAAAATATGAAAAAATTAAGCGCTAGAAAATTCTTTGATTTATTTGGTGCCAAGTACCAGCAGTGGCAGGCCCATTCAACGCTTCGTTGCCTCGCATTTACGTTTGCGGTAAATTAAATTTGTCTTCGAACGTTAAATGTCATACAAATCAAAATTATCGCCGTTTCCAATATGCATTGCAAATGTATGTTTGTTCGGAGCACAGAGCCGGCAAGCAGCTCGCCCGTGGCGCATGACATAAGCATGCAGCAGCAGACAGACATTGGACGGTGCATGCGGCAGTTAGCAGGTCCTGTGTCAAGCAGTAAACTCTCTACTCTCTATCTTCTGCAATGGAAGTAAGTGAAATTGAGTTGTGGTACATCTTCGTGTTCACACACACATATGTACAGGAGTATTCAGGCGTTCATTTATAACTGCATTTAATGCTATCATCATTACCATTCCATGCTTTTTCCTCTTTTTCTTGTGCTGCATCTTGAGCAGGATACTTTGGGAGTAGGACAGTAAAACATTAAGTGGGAAATTCTATGAGTAACGATCTTGTTATTCAAATAACTCATTTCACTAGGCATTTTACTAATGTCGATTGCATTAGGAGACACACCTACGCACGTAATCGGAATACAACGGCACTGGTGCCTGCAGAATCAAAGGCGTTTCAAATAGGTATGTATACATTTCTTTAAAACAACATGTATAATGGAAATAACTGCTATGAGACCGACTAGAACTTTGGGAAATCTGAAACCCTGGCAAATTTCGTGCCATTCAGGAGTATAGGATAGCAGGGGAGTGGGAAAACGGTCCTCTAATGAATTACCTAAGATGTAATACTAAACTTTTACAACAAAGATTACTCAGAGGTCGACACAACAAGTACATAATCATGAATTTTCAGGAAATCGGTGGAAAACAATACAAATTTCTGTGCATCATAAAACCATGTGAAATACTCTCATTTGCTGTCCTGCACTGTGGAGGCGCAGATTAAATATTCTAAAGAATTATTTTGAATATACCAATTACGGCTCTAAGTGCTTTAGAGCTTTGGAAAAGCGAGGATGTTGAAAAATCGAAATACCCTTAATATATCTTAGTAAGCTTCAGAAAAATAATATATCTGTAAGGTAGCAGAGTCAGCTTTAAACACCAATCAGCTTAGAGAGCGTCAGAGAAATATAAAATTTGAAAATCTGCTTTGAGAATTTTGAAAAACGATAACGTTTGAGTAAAGTCAAAGAAAAAGTGAAATGATACTTTTGATCAGGAGTTAAACTCCTACTAAAGCGGAGATGACTTTCTCCGTCAATTATCTTGATTTAATCTTGGATTTAAAACTGTATGGAAGACTGAAACGGCAAGACGGAGGAGAAAGAGCAATTGCAGTATAGCGCATGCTCAAATATTATTGTGTCACTCACAGAATTGCCGAGGTGTTGAACTGTATCATCTTTGCTTCCATAATTTTTTTCTACATATTTCAAATACTAACTTTCTAGATTAAAGAACCATAACAATAAAATACAGTACAAATACTTTGTCAAGCCGCTTGCCATTAGATAACGATACCATTTCAAAAGTGTCAATAAAATGTAGAAGTTCTCCATATTACCGTGATTTAAACGCTCCGTAATAGAATCATCACAGCCAGCTGCGGAGAGGCTAGATGGTGTACTTCTGTACTCGACAAAACATATGGTAGAAGTTGCCCTGGCTAAAAAAAAAGGTATTAAATTTGTCTACACCAGTTTTCCTTCAGTGTAGTAACTGGCATAACAACAAGGCAATATTCCCCTTTCAGCCAAACCCTGCCTCTAACTATCACGTAACATGGGTTCCTTGGAAAACACTTTTATGATTTTATATCTGAGATTTATTACATTTATAATATACATATATTTAATAGTTCGCGTATTTGAGAATGTGAGAGAAACCTTACAGCGATATCTTCCTCATCGATTTGCCTTCTTCTTTTGTACATTTAGACTGTCATTCAGCGGGGTCCAACAAGAGTGTGTTCGGATGTTGAATCCTTCTGAATATCGCCGAACCTTAGAGAAATAGAAATGTAATCCAATAATTCCTTTATATTGAGTAGCCCATAACTGCTGGGAGAGAGCAGTGGGGTAAGTCGAGTAGAAAGCTCTGTAGATATGTCGTCCGTATAACGAATGATCGCGAATTATTCGATATCGAAACAGCCAAATACTTTGAGTGATTTTTTTCCTGGAATCTAGTACAACAAATCAGCTTCCACTCATTTGGTGTTGTTTCGTCATGGAGGCTGAATTTTCCGACGGTTATGTCGGAGATACCACATTTTCCCAGTTTGGCGTTAAAGTCCCCAAGCAAAGTTTTGACATCGTAAAAATCGTCTTTGGCAACATCGTCCTTCTCTTTCGTCGAGACGTGGCTGCATATCAGCAATTTGTTTAAGAATCTCCAAAGGTACTTTGATGCGAATTGTGGGTGGCGAGACGTTCACATACCGAGGTGGAGCCGAGTACTTGGTGACAAAGTTTCTCGCCCACCACGAATATGACACTAACTTTGCGTCCCTTTATATGACCTCTGCTTTACATGAGGCCCGCAGCCACGTCTCTGGCGAATAGACGCTGTGGTTAGACTTCCGCGAGTCCCTAAACCAAATATGTTAGAGTAGCTCCACTGTAGCTTCCTATTTTTTAGCCGTCACCCAAAGTTTCACACAGATTAGTCATGCATCTTTCCAAAGAGTTGCTCACGCTTCTAGAATGTCTGACGTGAATGCAAGATTAGGAAATGAGTACATCCCGAAGACTGTAACAACAATATTACCCCGGCGGTAACACAATTGGTAACCAGCTTAAGAATAATAGTGTGTTGAATTTTCAATTGGTGCCAGTTTTACAAAATAAAGCTTTTTGCGTCGTTATTAAATACCAACTTATTTCTATTCAAGGGTCAAAATTTAATTGAGCTGCGTGAATCCGAAGAAAATTCAATTATTTCGCGTAATCTTAGATTACCGTTGAACTCAGTCTGCCGCCAATGCCATCGCATTCACTCACCGACTCTGCGTAAGCTATCCTTAACCGGCATAAGCAGTTGTGCTTCGCAAACCCCAGCTGCTATGGTGAGTGTACCAGACGCCAATGTAGTCGGTCCAGCCCAGCCCCACACACCGTCGCGGTAGGACAAAAGCATTTTTATAACTTGCTCGTATGTATATGCATGCTGGTGTGTAGTTCCTTATACAAACGCAATGAAATGCGATAATAATTCAGTGTCAACAATTGTTAAAACTTCCATAAACTAATGCAATTGCAATGTGCGCTCCTTTCAGCAAGCTCCACGCTGACGCTGACACTGCTGCTTTTGGTATTACATTTCAGAGCGGACTGCCAGCGCCGCTGCTGCTTGGGGAAGCTCTAGTACGATAGTCAACTATAAATTTCACGACTCCGTGGTACCTCGTCGGAGTGCCATTGATGAAGCAAAAGAGAAAATAACGCAAAAAAAAATTAATAGTGGTGTAAGAGAAAGAAGGTTGAGAGAGAGATATAGAATTGAGGAAGGAGCCTTCACCGTTGCAGCAAACGACGATGCATTACAAGTGTGGCTCAGAAACTGAAAGCTCATATAAATCTCAAATAGATATTACATAATTGTTTGTTTCTACGATGAATGTGGACTGAGAAATTTCGCTCTAGTAGCAGGACATTTGGTAATAATTGAAATATTTTTAAAACGCAATAATTTGTAGAAAGATGATATCGAGACATGAGATTGCTTTGACCCACCTGCCACCACCATGTTTGCTAGATTAGTTTGAAAGTTTTATTTTCAAATTCACTTTGAAATTCCGTTTATACTCGGAAATTAGACTTTGAGCAGCGAGCTTTGTAATACCATTTTCAACGTTTCTCAACATGGCATGATGGCTTTGTTCGTCTCCGTTTCTTAAGTTACTGTATCAGCATTTAGAAAGAAATCAAGAAGTGACCTGCGATAGTACGAAAATGTGCTGCCTCTATTGCAAAACTTTAACGGTTGTGTAAGCTGTCGTTAGACGACACCAGAAGCGCAGTCAGAATTGGGAAAGATCTCTCCGAGCCGTTCAGTATCAAGCGTGTTTTCAGACAAGATGACTCTTTGACGCGCGATTTTTCAATTTAATGCTGGAGAAAACTATAAGAGCTACAGAGCTTGATAGTCAAGACCAATCTTTTCTAAGTGTGTACAACTGCTGGCTTATGTTGATGTTAATTACATCATTGGCCTTAACAACCGCAGCGTTAGTTCTGCTGCTCGAGGCTTAACAAAGAAGCGGAGCGAATGAATTTGGTGAACAATGACAAGACGAAATATCTTCCATCATAAAAAAAACAGCTGTCGTCGGCTCGACTTTCATGTCCCTGCTGACAGGCATAACTTTGAAGTCGTGGATAAATTCTTCTATATCGGAATCAGTATTAACACCAACAGTAATGCCAGCCTTGAAATCCGAAGCGGAATCTCTCAGGTGCTACTTTGGACTGAGTAGGCAATTGTAAAAAAGTCCTCTCTCGACAAACGAAGATCAAATTCTACAAGTCGCTCATCAACCCGTCCTACTTTGTAGTGCAGAGGCGTGGACCATGTGGACATACGATGAGAAGGCCAGGGAGTCTTCGAGAAAAAAGTCTTGGGAACGATTTTTAGTCTTTTGCGTATTGACTACATCAATATAGTTAAGCGAATCAAGACACGGCTGCTACGCTATTTAGGCCATGTGATCAGACTGGTAGGGAACGCTTCAGCTTTGAAAGTATTCGATACAGTACCCACCGGTGGAGTTAGAGGAAGGGAAAGGCCTCTATTACTTTCGAAGGATCAGATCAAGAGCAACTTGGGATCACTTCGTATTTCCATTTTTGATTCGGCTATAATCGTGTAAGTGGTGCCCACGCTAATGCAGAATAAGACTGTTCTGAAGCGTCCAGTAGTGAACGAGGACAACAAGAGATATCTCTTGTCTTATTCATGATTTTGAAGTGGCAGACCGATTTCTCCACTTAGATATCAGGTGTACAACTTTGCTTCCGACGCTTTTTTTCCAAAATTAAAAGCTTTATTGCGAAAAAATACTTACAGATATATTATTCAAAGTATTGTCCTTCGCTAGCAACAACTTTCTTTCATCTTTCCGGCAATTTTCGGATCCGGCTCGAAAAAAGGAGTTCTCTTTTGATGCTATCCATGAAGCAATCTACTTTTCCAATTCTTTGAAGGATTGAAAATGTTGATCTGCCAAGCCGTGTGCCATCCAACGGAATAGGTGGAAGTCAGAAGGGGCGACATCTGGGGAATACGGCGGGTGGGGCAAGACTTCGCATTTCAGCGTTTCCAGGTACTTTTTCACCACTTTTGCGACGTGAGGCCGAGCATTGTCGTTTTGGAGGATGACTTTGTCATGTCGCTCTTGATCTTGCGGCCGCTTTTCACACCGTGCTGATCCCACCAAATACAAATCATAACCTTGGCGTCGTGAATATTCGGTTTTACCTCTCCCGACACGTTCTTTCACTCAGAGCAGCATCACCGTAAGTTTCTGAGAGCATTCGATGAATTCAGCTGCCTTTTTTTTTTTAATTGTAACAGAAAAGTAAAACTTCCCGCAAATGGCGAGAATTAGGCACATAAACGGACATTTTCGAGCATGAATAATGCGAAAACAAGAACAACTGTCACTGAAACGGCGATGACAATTCGTTAGGCACTGTCCACACTCACTTTAAAGGCATTATCATCTATATATTTCAACCAGCCTCAGCCGGTACAGCCACCTATCGGAAAACGGCGGAAGCAAAGTTGTACTCCGGATAATCACAAAATCCGATGAGTAAGCACTAAGAAGAGAAAGGTTTCGCGAACGATTTTTAGACTCTGAAAGGATGTGCTCTATGAGAAATACGACGTCATAAATGTTATTTAAGCCAGTTGAGAGATAGTCAAGGGCTATGCTTGCCAGTAAATGTTGTTTGCGTGAATGGGAGCACCCTGGGAGCACCCAGATAGCTTGTGGTGTTTCCAGTTTTCGCCAAACCGCTTGAAGAGTAAGCGATTAGCGACCTATTGTTGGTTAGACTATAAGCGGTGCCTACGCCAATTGTATAGGAGGAAAGAAGAGCACATTTATTGAGGCTGTCTTATGCTAGTTGAATGGCTTGGAATTTGTCAAGAAAGATGCAAGAATTTGGAGCACTCAAATTAAATAGGCTCTCAAAAGAAGCTTAGAACCTTAAACCTGTTTATTCAGCAAGTCAAAGCACTAAAAAAGTCAATAGCTTAAGTCCAATTAAACAACATCTAACAGATCGGCAGACTTAAAAGAATATTTGAAGTTACTTTAAACTATCAGACAAATTTATTTGAGTTGAGAATATCAGAATAACGGATGATTTTACGTCTTGATCGATAATCATATCTTTTTTATGAATTGTCCCGTCATTGGTTCCATGCCCCCTGTTATTTGTAAAGGCTTTCCATATTTGATAGAGGTTACCTGAATCGTAATTTAAGATCATTCGTTTCCAATAAGTGGAATTGAAGAGGCTAATTCTTCGAGTCTAGGGGAAAACGTAGATAATGCAAAAAAGTTTATCTCTTGTTTTCGAAAGTAAATAATTTTTATTTAAAAAAAATATACATTTCCAAAGAAGTTCCAAGAATGGGTTAATCCAATCTTATATTTTGGTCAGTTCTTCGGGTTATGTACCTCAGAGGGACCGGTGATTTTTTATTATATGTTTTACTTTCTTTGCCAGGGGAGCGGCTGCACATATATGGGTTTTAAGACACAGATTACAACTGTGACCCACATAAGAAGTGCAGGGAAGAAGACATGAGTGAGTGGTTGGAATATCTCCTCGGCATATGTTCTTTATTAATCTTAAAAAAGCACCAGCACGTCTATAAGCAAAACAGGCAGCCTGCACAACCTAACCTAACCTAACTGGTTTTCTTACAACAAATTATCTTGGCTGGGTTGAAAAGATTTAGAAACAATAGTTGTAAAGAACTATTTTCTTTTTTTGTTGTAGTTGGTCTATTCAGTGTTAAACCCTAAAACTCCATAAAACGTATCTCCCCATGTCAGCAACCCGTCTTTTACGTTCCCATCCACGCATATGAAGAAGCGAGTTTCAGAAGAGCAAGCGTCACTGGCATTCTCATCAACATAAACAAACAAGCTGAGGACTTTCAAGCAGGACACGCAATTATATTTGTCTCCATGCACATATGTACGCATGTATGCCCGCATTGATTGGGGTAAACGACAGATCGACATTCAAAGATTGCCATGACAAGTGGCAACACAGCGCACAGAACCGTACTACTGCGTCTGCACCAACCTTATCGGCTGCCTTCAAGCAATGGAAAGCAATGCCGGACCGCATATTTATTACAAGTACATAAAATGCAATGCGGGACGAGCACCGTGACAGGCTATACCTAAGGAAGAAAACACGCAAGAACAACTCCTCTCAACCTCTCATGCCTGCATCCGTTGGTGTCAACCCAACTCTCATCTTCTGGCATTCGCACAGTGCGGTGGCTAAGGACTTTGCATCCTTTTGCATTTATTTAACAATTTCCATTGGGCATAAATTATTTGGTCGGTACGGCGAAGGGCGAGAAATGTTGCTGCTACGGCCATTGGGTCTCTTCCTTTGGGTGAAAATGAAGCGAAGCAAAACCGACCTCCTCGGCGGAGGTGGGCAGAGTTGTGGGCGATTGGCGCTTATGAAAAATTGTTCGTTATTTGAATATGTAAATCGATTACAATAAATTCCTGCATGTAATGTGGCAGTTTACACGCCAGCGATGTAAAATCAAAGAAGCAAAAATAAAAAATAAATGCAAAAATGGATAAAAACCCGGAATAACAATAACATCAACAAAGTGCAGAAATATAAAGTCTATAAAATTGTTTTGTTTGCGCAGGATGCATGGGTTGATAAAGCAAATATGTGCGCTTGTTAAAAGCAATTTGCATTGCAACGGAATTTCCATGTTAAAAATCCATAAAAATGAACTCATACATACATACGCACACCTATACACACAAGTAAGCACTTTTATGTATTTTTCAATGAATACTCACCTTAAACAGTCGCAGCGTCATGCTGACCACATAATCGGCCATCGGTAGTAGGTTCTCCTTAAATGCGCTGCTATACTGCAAATGTCCTTTGAAAATTGAGACGTAGATTTGCTGCAACGACTCATCGTTCGGGAAGACAATATTGAAAACGGCAAACATGGATATGAAGCGTGGATCCACCTCATTGCGTCCACCGCCAGCACATCCCATGGCCCCATAGAATGTGAGATCTTTGAACTTTTTCCAATTCAAATCCTTGCCACGATCGTACATACCCCCGCGTTCAAAGAGCAGTTTGAGTAATGCAATGGGTTGCTGGGTGCCATATCTACAGAAAAGTGGACGAAAGAGAGCGAGGTATTGAGAAAAATTGTATTTTTGCGTACGGAGGATTTACCACTCATTTTTTAAGACAAAACAATTCACATTTACCTTAATTTAGCATAAAAATGAAATAAAAAATATTTAAATAAGGCTTAATTAAATAAAGTTATATAAAAAAATTAATAAAAATAATCAAGTAAAATAAATTAAAATTATATAAAACCAAAAAAATAAATTAGTCAATATTAAATAACATAAAATAAAATGATATAAAACAAATAAACTAAAATAAAATAAATTAAAATGAAATTGATTAAACTAAGTAAAATAAAATTATCAAAAATTTAAAAAAATAAAATTAAAATAAAGCAAAATAAAAAGAATAAAATAAAATAAAACACATCAAAATTAAATTAAATAAAATTAAATGAAATTAAATAAAATAAAATAGAGTAAAACAAGTAAAATATTAAATAATTTAATTATTATTAAATAAAATAAATTAAATTAATTAAAATAAAATAAAACAAAATAATGTAAAATAAAATATAATAAAAAAATTAAAAAAAAATAAAATAAATAAAATAAAATTAGGTAAAATAAAATAAAATAAATAAAATAAAATAAAATAAAATAAAATAAAATAAAATAAAATAAAATAAAATAAAATAAAATAAAATAAAATAAAATAAAATAAAAGTAAATAAAATAAAACAAAATAAAATAAAATAAAATAAAACAAAAAAAAAATAAAATAAAATAAAATAATATAAAACGAAATTAAATGAAATAAAATAAAGTAAAATAAAGTTATACAAAATTAAGTTAAATAAAATAAAATAAAAAAAAAATAAAAATAAAAATAAAACTAAAACAAACTAAAATAAAATGATTTTATTAAACATAATAAAATAAAAAAATAAGCTAAAATATAATAAACTAAAATAAAATGAATAAAATAAAATAAATAAAATAAACTACAACAAAATTAAATTAAATAAAATGAAATAGAGTAAAATAAAATAAAAGTAAATAAAACAAAATATAAATGTAAAATATGAAATATAAAAACCAATATTAAATAAAATAAAATAAACTTAAATAAAATTAATAAAATAAAGTAAAATAAAATGAGTAAAACAAAAGTAAAATAAAATACATCAAAATTAAATAAAATAAAATTAAATTAGAATTAAATTAAATGAAAAAAACTGAATGAAATTAAAGCAGTTGATTAATTTTATTAATGAAAAAGTGTTTAGAAATTTTATAATTAGTTTAATGTGTGAAAAATAAAATCTATGAATAAATGCAAATTGATTTGAAGTTCTCTAACGTGTTCATTTGCCCATGAACTCATTTGAGTTCTTCAAACTTCAATTTCATTCATAACCTAATATTATTTAACAATTTTTAACGGAGAATTTCGGTTGTGGTTTTGTCGAACACTTTAACTAACTGTTCATTGCTGCAAAATCAAAATATACAACGTCAATGACTGAATTTGAGTACATTTGAAAAATATATGTATGAGCAACTGAAACAAATTAGGCTCACTTTGGTGAAGTATTAAGTCCGCTCGGCTCGAAATGCCCACACTTTCTCACGCTCATTTGCAAATATTATATAATATTTTGCTAGTGTGTATGTGGGTGTTTATGTATAAATGTGCCTGGCAACATTGTATTTAACAATTTGCCGGCCACGAAATGGAATATATAAATATGTATGTATGTGTGTGCGTATACGAGTACGTAAGAGCATGAGTAACCATAAAATACCAATATTTTGGCATATTTCTAAATATTTCTACCAGCTCAGCAAGTTTTTATGCTTAATTAAATTTCACTGCCCATTTTTCGCAATCAAATCTCAACCAACACACCGCACCTCCCCTCGCCAGCACTTTGAATGTGAAGCCTACTTTGGCTGGTGATTGCCACTCATCAAAAACATGCTACACTTATACATCCATATATACACGTACATACATGGGAGCATAAAGAGGATGTGCTATGTAACAGTTAGTGTTATTGAAAATTTTAGTACACAACAACAATAACAACAAAAGCAACAATATTAACCAGCATAATGGGAATATATGCGTGCATGTAATAGCCATTTTTAATAATAAATACCACAGACATACCAACAGCAACAACAACCGCAAGAGCGAATAAATATGTACATATCTATGGAGTTAGATTTAGGTGTAAGATGTGTGTAGGTATGAGTAGTACTTCGTGTATATGTATGTATGTGTGTGCTGATAACGGACGGCCTTTGGCTAAAAATGCAACGCCGGCGCGTATAAAACCGGAATCCAATAAGATTTTGTTGGTTGTCATGTAACAAGTATAAGTTAACGCTGCTAACATTTAAAAACTCCAAACATATGTTTCCCACGGTACGGAAACGCACCCACAGCAACAATACAGGTAAAATGCTGATGCCATGTCTGCCGCGCCGGATCAACGTATCATATAGCCCATCCACGCGCAACCATTTCGCCAACACCGTAAACTGTCACCTGTGCCCGCAACGTGATACAGATGCTTAATGTTAAGGAAGTAAAAATTGTAATTCAGTCCTAAGTTAGAATTCAATAAAGTAACATGTGCTGAAAGCACAGAAAAAATTATTTTTTTTCTATAACTTAACAGTAATTAAGTTAACTTATACTCGTACGAGTACATTCACGCGTATATATATATACTCGTGTGTGTGTGTGTTGTGTTTTGGTAGGTTGAAATGAGAAATTTCGTTTAGACTTACTCATCAACTTGCGGCATATTCATATCATCGATAAAGCAGGCAATCTTCTTGCCTATTGGTGGGCCAAATGTGTCCTTTGTGCGTTTTTCCACAGCCGCCTCGAGCGTGCGTTGCACGTCCATAGATGAAGTTCTCGATGAAAAATTAATGTTCAATATGATCTGGAAAAAGTTAAAGATGAATATATGAATGGATGCAAGCCATGATTGCAAACTCTTTTTTTTTTCTTAGCAAAAAAGCTACGTTCATACATACAAATATTCTTTTGTGTTTGTGTTAATGGCAGTCCCAGCAAGCATATGGAGAGCGTTCCGAAGGAGGTGAAATAGAGCAACAGGCCACTTCAATGAACTTCATAAGTTTAGCAAAAATAATAGAATCAAGAGTTCGCGCTATCTGAGGATGTCTAAAGTACGAGCTCCGCATAGAATAAGCTTTCTGCTCGCTATTGGTGGTTTTGAACATCGTCTAAGCGATTACAGCCGATTTTTCCCGTTTCAGATTCGTTCCCGTCTCCTGGAAGAGCATAACTCTTACTCTAAACTTTTTTCTTGAAAACTCCTAACGCCGACTCATCAGATATTGACATCGTTCTAGCTTCTGCGCCAAATAGTAGGACGGGTATGCTGAACGACTTGTAGAGTTTAGTTTTTGTTCGTCGAGAGGGGACTTTAATGTTCAATTTCCTACTAAGTCCAAAGTAGAAAAGTAGCTAATGCACGCACCTTGTCAGTTCTACACCGCCATGCTTGAATAGCTCTGCCGGTAGGCCATAAGCTCCAGCCGCTCTGTTGTTCTTTGAGGGAGCATTCGCTAATCAAACCTCTTCATAGGCAGGTACTGGAACGTATTTTCTATTGGCATCGATTGGGATTTCGGTTTTACCATCACAGGGTGTTCCATTTTTACTGTTATTAAATTTTGGTCTAAATAAATGAGGAGAGCGAAGCGCCCGTTTGGTGGTATAAAGCCCTATGAGGCAGAGCTTTCGATTACATTAAACTGCATGGAGGCATATCAGTTCCTCGGCTATGTATTATAATATTTCTGGCGGCGAACTATCCATTGCCCTCCTCTAGGGGTTCGGAACAGTATTTTTATATTCTAAGTTGGCGATATCCATTAGTCAGTCTGAAGATGTCATTCTTGAACGTCATATACATACATAGCCAGCGTGCTCTGAGTACAAGTCTACAAAATTATTTAAAGACATTTCAGAGTCTCTCAAGACCCTTCAGTACGTTTCAAGCGTGGCCTTAAATGTGCGTCTTTTTGGCTTGGCTGGATGTGCTCGCCATGGGAACTACTCACTCAGTATCTACACTCCGGTAGTGTCTTTCATTTACTTCAATCCGTTCCTCATTTGCTTGACTGGGAGACATACATATGGCTACTTGTGTTAATGTGTGTGTATTTCCGATTGCATGCATTGGACATACCGTTGACAAACATAAACAGTCACTGTACAAATATCAAAGAACAACCGTAACAACTACGATTACAACAACTACACTACATATCTACAAATAGTCCATATTATTGGCTTACCTACCAATAACAACAACAAAAACAACTAAAACATCAACAACAAAACGTGTACATCAAAACTAACGGAGTAGCAACCAGCATTGGGTTTTGTAAATTTGTTGCCAATACCAAGTGGTGGTGATGTGATGTTGCAACATGTGCAACACTCATATGTGTGAGACGAGTTACAGTGGCAGCGGTTGCCAACGTATTTAATAAAGTGCACAAGGCAAATAAAGTACATGACGACGATGATGATGATGATGATGATGATGATGATGATGATGGTGATGGTGGTGGTGAATTGCTGCAACCAACAAAACATTTTTCCTGCAACTCGTTGAGAACGTGTCTGTATGTTTGTGTTTGTGTATAAAAGCAGAGGTGCATTTGCATATATATGTGCATACATATAAACGTATGTACGTGTGTCACTCACATTTGCGTCCGGATTTAGATTACGTAAATACTGTGAAATCATGGCTGTCTTTGATGTACCCGCTTCGCCGACGAGCAGCACCGGTCGCTTGATCTAAACGGTCATCAGTGGTGGTGGGATTGACCATAGGTGGAGTGATGGCACAACAGCAGCAGACAGTGAAAAAGTAATAATCATCGTGCACATGAAACAAGAAGAAAAAAACTAGTTTTAATAATAAAAAAATCCTTGCATAAGCTTTGGCTGCCGAGTCGTTGGCTTTGATCAACATTCTAACTGCAAGGTAAGAGGTTTTATTAGTACATGAAGATCTAAAAGTTTTTGAAAGGAAAAGTATCTGTATGAATGAATAAAATTGAAACTTTTTGAAAAGCCGGATTACTTGGCATTTTATCAATTTTTCAAAAGTTATAAAGGAATAATTTTATGCTTAAAAGGAAACTATGTAAAGTTAAGGAAATTCCGATTGTATTTTTGTGAAGTTTGGTGTTGCGAAAATTGAAGAAATTAAATATACCAGAACATCTATCTCCGAATAAAAGGCCAAGGAAGAGTTGCGGGATTGTCCATTAAAAACACGGGCCAATAATTTTTGATTTTATTTCAAACCGAAAAATAAGTTGGAACATAAAAAGCAAATATTTATCAAGATCTGGAAAAAGAAACTCATATCCTCTTATTGTCTATCTGAACTAACTACCCCAGAACTCTAGTTATTGGTAATTTACAAAAAAAAAAATATGTTTGGGGCAGTGGAAGAGGTGCTGACCTGTTCGAAGAAATCGTTGGGCACTTAAGTAGCTGGATTTTAGTTCTGGGTAGCTGGAGAACTATTCCTTCCTCCGCGATCTGGCCCAGAGACCGATCATTTTGCAAAAATCATAATTACAGTTCTTTTTACTTGAAACCATATTTCTTAGCCCGATGTCGATAATTTTCAACACAGCTCTGTAAATCTATGTATGTGTATACAATACTAAAATTTCGAACTCTCATATGCCCTTTTGACGGATTTATGATCCAAAGCCTTGAATCTGGAAAATCAGTAATGGTCCAACCCGGCCGGTTCCGCAATTGAAATATCATATAGAGCGATCCAATCGGAATTCTTCTTCTACTTATATACACGTATGCGCTCTGTCTTTCTGATAGAAGATGCATATGGATGGAGATGAAGAACTGGACAAATGACGGGAGTTATTAGAGCATCCTAGATTTAGAGAAATATTTGATTTTTGAAAAAGACGACGGAAGACGGACGGAAGAAGGTGAGTGCTTGTAAAATCTGCTACAGTAACCAAACCTCACTTAAGCAGTTACTAAAATCCAATTATATATATTATATATAATCATATGAAGGAAAGTAAAGAAAATTCGGTACTGAATTTATGGTGGCAGAGAACTCCGTCGCCAAGTCCTGGCTTTAACTGTGGTGGAGAACCTTTCGCCTCAATCTGCATACATTAAAAGGAAATTTCACAACTTATCACTGCATTGAGCCCACACCCCGACGTAAGCGAAAGATGCACCTATGAGCGCTGCCCACGTTACGATGTCAAAATCGTTACTGACAGTTTTAACATCAGAGCAGGTGAAGAACACATCTTCGCTGCAAAAATCAGTCTCCATGAAGAAACATTCCTAAATGGATAGAGGTTGATTAACAACAGCAACAACAAAACTTTACCAATCGCACATCAATTCATTCCAACTTTATGGATCAAAACCGTGATGATGTCGATATTCGATGAATGGGAATAGTTAAGCGAATAAAAAAACAGCGGCTACGCTGGTCAGGACAAATCCTCCGAATCGGTGAAAGAAATCCAGCTTTGCAGGTATTCGATTCGGTACTCCTTGGTGGAAGAAGAGGAAGACCTGCATTCCAACCGAAAACTGGCTGATCGGCTATAATCGTCTAATCAGTACCTACACCAATGAGGAAGAAGTAGAAGGGAAATAGGCCGAAATGTGTTAGTTTTAAGAGCTTGGAAATTTAGCCGACAGTGTTAATGAGAGAAAATACTATGAAGAGATTTACAAATGACTTCGAGACTGGAGCATTTTCCAGTAATAGTAAAGTAGGCAGCCCGGATTTCTGTTCGATAATCGTGGAATTGGCATTTCCTTTCCCGACTATGATGAAGTTCGAATAGGTATAGCTCGCCTCATGTATAACAACGCTGTGGGATCATGTGACTTGCCAGCTGAGCTATGACGGTGAAGAACCAACAAAGTTCATGCAACAGTGTATTTGCAAAATATGGTCGAGCAAAAGGTTCCCTAGGATCGGAACTTAAGTTCTTCCCAATGCGTAGGAAGACCGTGGAGTCCGTCTGCTTTATTTCGCATATAAGGTTTTATGTAACAGATAGTGTGAAAGATTAGAGGCCACATTAAACAAACTGTTTGGAACATAGAAAATCCACACAGACAACCTTTTTTGGAATCAAGAAAAGGGGCTGCTTCTGTAGCACTTTGTATCAATTTTGTACCCTGTAAAAGTTCTGCAAGCTGACCTTGAACAATATCATTGTGTGACTTCTTAAACTTAATATATATATGTAAATATATTTATACAGTTAGCGCTTCGTAGCTGCTAAAGCGATTTTCGGCCGACTTCCTTCTTGAAGTTGTGGTGTGTTAATTTATGTTTTTCTAACAAATGAAGGGACCAACAGTTTAGTCTAAGCCGCCTCCGTATGACCGATGGATTTTTATGAGAAGCTTTTATTTGATGTCAGAGAGCTCGGAGGGTTTGATATTCCCATTTAGAAAAATTAAATTTCAATAATTTTGATCATTGGTCGGACGAAAACTGGAATATTTTCGATACAGTACTCGCCGTTGGGAGCAGTAAAAGCTGAAGACCTCCACGCGACTAGAAGATAAAGTGGAAAAGGAGTTTACTTCAAATGAACTTTCCACTAATTAAGAAGAAAAGGATATTTTATAACTTTATTTTTTTAAAATCTTATTGTAAGTTTTTTTAATTGTTTTTTGTAGGCACATTTTCGTTCTGAATATAATAAAGTTGAACTAGTTAATTTTCTCTGCCCCAAAGAGGCCATAAATTAGATTACCCGTGTATTCAAAGCCATTTTCCAAAGAAACATGGTAATAAAATTCATTAAGCATACAAATCTCTCTAACAGATCTGCTTCAATTACCCCTCCTGCATACGAATATTATATTTCCCAGTAGCTGGACTGACGCAAATCTAAAATGGTCACTTCTACCAATAGGCAACCTTTTTGGTTTACCAAACTATATACACTCTTCGTCCTTCACTTACCTCACTCATTAGCGCCAAAGTCTTGTTAGTTCTTGTACTATCAACGGTGGGTACAAGTATTTCGCTGAACTTCATTTCCGGATCGTGCACATACTCAGGCACCACCCATTCCCAGGCAATCCAACAGCCTTTTTCACGACTATAAAAATAATCATACAGGGTTGGCTTACTATTCGGCAATTGACCGCCCGAAGCTGGTTTTTCTTGTGTATCCGTTACGCTAGGGAAGCCGGCAACACGTTTTAAAAATTCATCAAAAACCGGCTTATCTCGTTCGATAAGTGTGGCGCCGAGTGAGTTGTAGATGCACTGAAAAAAAAAAAAAAACGAAAATGAAACGGAAGGTGAGTGAAATGTAAGCATTTTCCGAGTATAAATTGTGAGGGCAAGAATAAGTCATAACCTTTTTTTTTAAACTGCACACTATCTAAGGCCTTTACCTGTATAAATCCGCACTCAATCGCGTCCTGGTCGTAAACAATCGCCTCCGGTACTTCCACTGCAATATCTTCGACACTGCTATATATGGGCAGGAGAGCGTCATAAATGAAGCATAATTGCACCACCATATTCAATTCCGTTTGTGGTATAACCATTTTCAAAGGATTGCCCTGTGAGGTGCCGTCAATGCCTTCCAAAATGAAGGCGATCGCTTGTACGACAATTTTCTCATAGAAGTCCTGTGAAAGGTTGGCAAAATTGATATTAGAAATAAGTAAAGGTGACAAAAGTATTGCCAAATAGGCTTACATTTAATATTTCATGTTCGCCCTCAGGACGTGTCAACACCCAACGCTGCCAGTATGGTGCAAAGCGTAAATTTTTCGGATCCACGTAGACCATGCCGGCGCGTGAAACTGTAGCAGGGGAAGCATACCATAAGTTGCCGACCTGAAAAAAAAGCGGAATATTGAAAAATCAAAGGTAAAAATGTTTACAAATATACAAATATACAAATATACAAAAAGTAAGTAATCACATAAGGCTGTGTAAAGTATAAGAATCCATATAGACCACGGCCGCGTTAGCCGAGAGTTTATCAATGCGTATTACAATAGGGATAGTACCTGGTTCCTGGCCAAACCAACATTGCTATATTGCAAACTGGCTAATATTATAACCAGTAATCTTATTCTGCAAAGCCTCTGTCTTGTGGCTTGAACTTGGCAAAGTTACTGACCGCAGCGAGCTGGGCAAAATTCAGCGGACGACCACCAACTCATAACAGGATTTGAGAGCTTGACTTGCATGACATGTGGTTTCTGCAAGACGGTACCACATGCCACACGGCATGCTTAACAATGGACTTATTGAGAGACAAGTTCGGTGAACATTTTATTTCACGTTCGGTTCCGGTCAATTGGCCACCTAGATCGTGCGATTTACCGCCGGACGTATTGTAGGGCAGAATTAAAGCAATTATTTGCCAGATACCGGCCAATATGTGTGGAAGGGTATGACAAAATTGGACTAAGCGGATGGACCATTTGAGGTCACAGTTGAGTCACGGTCAACGTTTGCATGAAATAATCCTCAAGCATTAAATTATATGGACCGTAGCATCGATTCAAATAAAGATTTTATGCATTTTTCTGAATTTTATTCGTTTTTTTTTGAAAACCTTTCCTATAGCTCTTAAAAATCACACTTTATATTGTATTGGAATTAGAAGTCATCTATGGAAATTATTGGGTTGCCCAAAAAGTAATTGCGGATTTTTCATATAGTCGGCGTTGACAAATTTTTTCGACGGCTTGTGACTCTGTAATTGCATTCTTTCTTCTGTCAGTTATCAGCTGTTACTTTTAGCTTGCTTTAGAAAAAAAGTGCGCGAAATTTTGTTTACAT